TCGCATTCACAGATTGTCTATTAGAGGGAGTCAGAGAAGGCTGGCCAGATTGAACTTCAACAGTGGGTGTATTGCTGAGATTTTTAAGGAAATGCGTGTACAGGAGGTCTTTCAGAGGGCAATAGAAAGGGGGGAAGGAGAGGAAGAGGAGAGGGAATGAAGAAGGGACAGAGGGGGAAAAGAAAGGGAGAAGGGGGAGAGGAGCGGGGAAGTGAAGGAGGGAGAGGGAGAGTGAGGGGAGAAGGGGAGGGGGGAACGGAAGGGGAGAGAAGGAGAAGGGAAGTGAAGAAGGGAGGGAGGGAGAGTGAGGAGAGAGGCAGAATAGAGGAAGGGAGGAAGAGGGGAGGGCAAGAAGGGACAAGCAGGAGGGAGGGAAGAAAAGAGAAGAGGCAGAGATAGAGGGAGATGGGGTGAGGGGAGATGGAGACAAGGGGCGAGGGGGAGAAGGGGAGAGGGAAGGAGGGGGTGATAAGGACACAGAAGGAGAGATGTAGGAGAGGGAAGAGGAGTGAGAGACAGGGAAGGGAAAGGGAGGGGGAAAGGAGGAAGGGGAGAAGGGGAGAAGGATGGGGATGAGGGGTGGAGAGGGACTGACAGCGAGGGAGAGAGGCGGCGAAGGGGAGATGGAGAGGGGACAGGCAGGGAGAGGTGACAGGGAGGGGGTAGGGACAGGGAAAGGGAGAGAGGTGCAGGCTGCACAGGTCAGAGAAGGCTTGTTAGAGAAAGTGGTAGTCGAGCTGGGTCTTAGGGTGAAGGCAAACGGACTCCTGTTCATTCTTCCCTTGATGAAATTCATTCATAAATATTTACTGAGCACCTGTGCCCAGTACCTGAGCACCGTGCTAGACATCAGGACTATAGAATTGAAAGGGACTGTCTCATTGTGGGTTATAACCCACAGAAGCGAACCACAGAATCTCTAAGACCGGGATGCCTGCTATGATAGTGGTGGATCCAGACTGAGGATGGTGGTGGGAGGGAAAACTTCCTTGAATAGACGAGATCTACAGTAGTAGAAGAGTGTTTTAGCGAGGGAATGGCATCTTGGGAAGGCTCAGGGCAACAGAGAGCTTGGCAACAGCGTGGGCAAAGGAACTGCCGAGACTGGGTGCAAACCAGGGACAACGTGGCCACCACTCAGGTTAGAGTGCGAGGAGATAGGTCTGGTAGCGTATGAGAAGGGGTCTGCATTCGCCTCTCCTGGGAGCAGTAGGCATTCACTAAAGGTGAATGAGCCAAAAGAGGGTAGCATAGGCCAAGCAGGCTTTCCTTCACATGTAAACAGCATCAGGTATAGATGCACGCACACTGGTTTCCTTAAACATACAACATGAGATTCATAACAAAGGGATATAATCCAGTGAAACATTTATAAATATATAGACACCAAGTAATATAACATCCAATCATTGTTATTACTCCCTCTGTATTAACTTCCACATGTGAGAGATGTCTGCTTTATTTCATTCAGCATAATGACCCCCTAATTCCATCCCATTTGTTGCAAATATCAGGCTTTCATTCTTTTTCATGGCTAATAGTCATTCCACTGATCTAACTCCCTGTCTCTGCATTGTGGTTGCATCTCCTCTCTCGGCCTATGCACAGTACTTCCAAGCAGGATTGGCAGCTGTCTGAAGTCAGAATTGACTACACTCCTATTAGATGAGTATGAAGTTTCCATCTACGACCTAAGTGGAGACATGAAGGGCCGAGAAGCATGGCCAAACTACTATGCACGTGCACAGGGGCTGGTTTTTGTCCTGGATTCCAGCGACTTAGGACGCATGCAGGAAGCGAAGACCATCTTAACCCGTCTGCTCTCTGATAAAAGAGTGGCAGGGAAACCCATTTTACTGTAAGCTTCTGCTTTTGTACCCTACTCCCCTTCCCAATTTGCACTGGAAGGAGAGATGACACGCTGAGTGGTCCCTCTGTCACACCCAGCGAGCCCTCCCATTGCTGTCAACTCAGTGGGCTGGAATGGCCCAGTGCTCCAGGGACTGTTTTCCCAGGAGCCCCTTTCTCACACACACGGCCCTGGGGGAACAGGTTACCTAATCATACACAGGTCATTTGGAAGGAAAATGGGAAGTGACATCTGACTCCGCCACTGCCACCCCAAGGCCTGACTGCCTTCTGAATTCGCTTTGCACCTTTTCCGGCGGCAGTCTCTGACCTTGCAACCCCACGGTGGCAGACAACAGCCCCTGTTTTGAATACTGGATCCTGATGGCCTGCTCCCTTAGCAGGTTGCTCCGGAGTTATATAACCAGTGCTTTCTTCCAGGGTAATAATTCAAGGGGCCAGGCAATCCTTTCCCCTCCCACACACACAATCACTCCCTTTCTGCCTTTTGCATTCCTCATTAGCAACCCCAAGTAGAGCATGAACAGAGGTTGGTAGAGGATGTTCACAACTCCCAAGTCTGTTCACATCCCACTTGGCAATTCCACTTCAACTCTGCTAAAATGAAGCAGAAGTGAGCAGTGAGGCCTGGGGGTTACCTTGGATTCAAATTATTTGGTTATTCTTTTCCCCTTTCTGAGCTGAGCAGAAAAAATCTCCTTCTATCTGATTCCTGGATATGAAACAGCTGGATCAGAATTGGTTCTTACCCCGCCCTCCCTTCTGATCCTTGGCCTGTATTTTGGTTTCACTCTTCGTCTCTTCTTCCCCTCCTCTTTCCTGTTCTAGCCTGGCAAACAAACAAGACAAGAAGGATGCCCTTTTGCCTTGCGATATCATAAAGAATCTGCTCCTGGAAAGGCTAGTGAATGAGACCAAGTCCCTGTGCCGGGTGGTAAGTGTCCACCCGTTCCTTCCCTCTTCCTCTCTAACGCCCAGCTGAGAATGTCCTTGGCCCAGCCCACAGTCAGCCCCGTTTCCGGCTTGGGACAAAGTCTCTCAGCACACCCACAGTGGTGACTTCTAAATTACTAGTGGCCACCGATACTGCTTTCTGCCTTCAAACTAGCTTTTTGAAGTTGGAAATGTGAATACTCCCATTTGATGACTAAGAAAGCTGAGGCCGACAGCCTCGTAAGTGACTTTTTCAAGGTAACACAGCCAAGAAAACCACTTCTATCAGATGAGGACAGTTTTGTGTCTTTCATTTACCTTCTTAGATGTAAGTGCTGAGGGTCTCTGGCCTCAAATTTCAAGTCTGCCCCTCCTCCCCCTTTCTGTGCCACAGGAGCCATGTTCAGTCATCAAAAATCTCCAAAGGAAGAGCCATCAGCCCATAATTGAAGGGCTGCGCTGGCTGTTAGCTGCCACGGGGGACAAAAACGAAGAGCGGTGTATTCCCCATCAGCCGCATACATCAAGCATCCTTATCTCCAAGAGCACTAGACGCTCTGGAGATAGATGCTCATCAGAAAGGTACTGGCTTGCCTCTAGCAGGTGTACTGATAAGAACACAAGCAGGGCTCGATCTTAGACATGACCAGGTAGTTCTGGGACATACCTAGATTCCCAGCAGCGCTGAGCAAGGCCCTCAAGGTCAGTGGGTCCCACTGCTCCAGGGCAGTGTCCACAGACCGTCCCAGAGTGTTAGGTACACCCCCATGCCTGCCCCCTTGCAGTGGCCATGGCAGTGGGATGCTTTGTATAAAAGTAAAGCCAGTCTGTCAGCATTAGAGGTTCTCCAAAGCAGGGTCTCTAGTCTCTTAATTCCCCACGGTGAAGAGAAAAGCAACAGGAGCCCCTTAAAAAGCCCATTAGACAGTTGTCATGGAGCTGCTCCAGATTCTCGGCTGCCAGTCCTCTGGTCCTCACAATAATGAGGAATGAGGAAAAAGAGAAAAAGAGAGGACAGGCGTTGGAAGCAGTAATTAAGACACTGCTTGGGATGTCTGCATCCCATATCCAAGCACCTTGGTTCAAGTCCCAGCTCTGCTTTTTTTTTTTTTTTTTTGACAGGCAGAGTGGACAGTGAGAGAGAGAGACAGAGAAAGGTCTTCCTTTGCCGTTGGTTCACCCTCCAATGGCCGCCGCGGCCAGCACTCTGCGGCCAGCGCACCGCGCTGATCCGATGGCAGGAGCCAGGTACTTATCCTGGTCTCCCATGGGGTGCAGGGCCCAAGCACTTGGGCCATCCTCCACTGCCTTCCCGGGCCACAGCAGAGAGCTGGCCTGGAAGAGGGGCAACCGGGACAGAATCCGGCGCCCTGACCGGGACTAGAACCCGGTGTGCTGGCACCGCAAGGCAGAGGATTAGCCTAGTGAGCCGCAGCGCCGGCCCCAGCTCTGCTTCTGATTCCAGTTTCCTGGCAAGGTGCACTCTGGAAGGAGTGGCAGCAGGTGATGGGTCAAGCACATGAGTCCCCGTCACCCATATGGGAAACTCAGAATGAGTTCGAGGCTCCTGGCTTCAGCCTGGCCCAACACTGGCTATTGTGGGATCTGGAGACTGAACAAGAAGAGAACAGATCTCTGTCTCTGTCTCTGTTTCTCTGTGTTCCAAATAAAAATGAAAAGAAAGAAATTTGAAAAAAAAAAAAAAGATAACAGAAGGTGAGCAAGGACTTGAGAAGTAGTCAAAGGTCTCAGTGTCCTCCTGCTCTACCATCACACCCACTGCACAAAGGGAGGGGGAGCAGCTGCACTGGATAAACAGGACTGAAATGCATCTCTTTCTACTGCCGCTTTGTCCTTCTCCAGCTTCTCTACCAGAGTGGGGTTATCCAAAGAAAAACGACAGCACTTACCACACTCGGCAGAAGCTAGGCCCCTCAAACCAATCCTCCAGGTAAATGGCCCTTTACATGTTATGGTTCAGGGGCCAATCCCCGAACACCTGTGCAGCAGCTGACTTTGCTAGCCCTGTCTCCTTACTTTACAGAAAGAAGGCTTCCGATTAAGACCTAAGAAGAATATCTCAGTAACATTCGCTCTGGATGAACCCATGGAGAAAGGTGAATACTCTGGGGGAAAAAGAACTATGAATGCTACCAAACACCACTTCAGTCCAAGTGATGATTTAAAGACTCCATCACCAAGCCTTTCTGATGACTTATTTGAAGGTAATCCTGGGCAGACTATAGAGAAGAAAAGATGGGTAGACCTTTCTTCACAGTTTTTACAAATTCACTCACACTACAGTTGGTGGTGGCTCAGGAGAAGAGAAGTGCAAGAAGTACAGGCACAGTGTATGGGGACCACTTTCTGGTAGCCCAGGACGAAGCCCTGGCACTGGCTGACACAAGAGCTTTGGATAGATATAGGGTTGTCTTAAGGGCTAGGACTTCCAATGACAGAAGTACAAATTGGTACAGCCATCATAGAGGGGACATTGGCTAGCTCTCTCCACATATACCAAAAACTAAAAACTTACATATCTTTTGAGCTAATAATCTAATTCCTTAAGCTGTATCCAAAGATAAATTTTTAATAACAAGTACCAAAAAAATGCACACTCAAAGAGATCAATCACAGCATTGTACACAACAACTCAAAGCTGAAAACAACCCAAAATCCAACAACGGGCTAGGGCTAAATAGATGCTGATGCAGCCACACAGCAGAATACTATTCAGCTGATAGGGAGGTCAATGTTGACTCCGCAAGCGGTCTTCAAAAAGTCTGCAGAAAATGCTTTTTTTTTTTTTAATTTGACAGAGTTATAGACAGAGAGAGAGAGAGAGAGAGAGAGAGAGAAAGCTCTTCCTTTCATTGGTTCACCCCCAAAATGGCTGCTACGGCCAGCGTGCTGCACCGATCCGATGGCAGCAGCCAGGTGCTTCCTCCTGGTCTCCCATGCGGGTACAGGCGCCCAAACACTTGGGCCATCCTCCACTGCCTTCCCGGGCCACAGCAGAGAGCTGGACTGGAAGAGGAGCAGCCAGGACTAGAACCCAGAGCCCATATGGGATGCTGGCACCACAGGTGGAGGATTAGCCAAGTGAGCCACGGCGCCAGCCCCGGAAAATGCTTATTAAGAAAAAACTATGCCTGGGTTTCCTTTTTTTTTTTTTTTGGACAGGCAGAGTGGACAGTGAGAGAGAGAGAGAGACAGAGAGAAAGGTCTTCCTTTGCCGTTGGTTCACCCTCCAATGGCCGCCAGGGCTGGCGCGCTGCGGCCGGTGCACCGCACTGATCCGATGGCAGGAGCCAGGTACTTATCCTGGTCTCCCATGGGGTGCAGGGCCCAAGTACTTGGGCCATCCTCCACTGCCTTCCTGGGCCAAAGCAGAGAGCTGGCCTGGAAGAGGGGCAACCGGGACAGAATCCGGCGCCCTGACCGGGACTAGAACCCGGTGTGCCAGCGCCGCAAGGCAGAGGATTAGCCTAGTGAGCCGTGGCGCCGGCCTATGCCTAGGTTTCAAAACCCTTTTGTACCAAAGAAGTTATCTATTAAATTCCATTTTCCATGAACTTTTTGAAGTACCCTCATATTTACTGGCAGGGGAAGTTTCCCACAGCTAACATTTTGTTAGGAAAAACAGCAAGTTAGTGTGTAGCATGATGTGCACACATGGTTAGAGATATCTGAAGATATCACTAAAATACATGCCCTTTTTTTCTATTTCTGTTATATTAGAGATTTTTGTTTTTATGATAAGCAGATAGTACAATATAACAAAGGTATTATTTAAAAAGCTGCATGGCACCTGAAGCCTTGGGTTGTTACACCTCCATGGACGGTCCTAGATGTGGCCAGGGCCACCAAGGGGGAGACAGGCACTGCTGTGGGGATGAGGAAGGGGTGAGGATGAGCTGGGCAGGCATCTGGTGGGAGAGAAAAGGAAATGCTTTTCTGTGTGTCAGCAGCTACCCCTGCATCTTCGTCTAACACTGCAGTGTCTTCATTTGCATCATCTCACAACCTATGGCAAACAGGAAAAGGAGTACCCGGGACACAGGGGAGAGGCTCCTGGAAAGTCACCGCGGAGGAGCCTATGATCTCTGTGGTTAGTCCTCCTGAAACGCAGGGCGGAGTGCAGACAGCAGGAGTGGGAGGGAGCACGACGCCGGGCACGGGGTGGGGGGCACCTTTGTAGGGTGCAGTCTGCACCTCCTGGAAACTGACTGCTATCCTCCTACCCTGAAGTGGTCTGGGAGGACCGGAAACCTGGTATTTGGCCTTGCTTTCAGTAACTGGCTCTTTTCTTTCTCTTGCTAGGCTTTTAACAGCCCACAAAAGAACGGAGGGAAATGAAAAGAAACATCTAATTTTCCTCCCGCAGCAAATTAGTTCACTTCCAACACCATCGGGACCTACTCAGTCTTCTCCCTTTCTGTTTGATATACTTCTCTCCAAGTCACTAAGATCACTTTCTTGGAACCTATTCTTATTCCTAGATCTCTATATTCCAGCCAGCATAGCAATCCTGCACCCCCCACCACTCCCCGCCCCAAGACACTCAAGAAACGTTTCGTGGCTTCCATTTGTGAACGTAGGCCACCTTGGCAAAGAAGAGCAAGGGACTTTAACATCTTCATACCCAAACACACCTGCCACGGGCGACCAACCAAAATGAACCCTTAGAATGACAGGATTGCTTCTGATGTAACATCTTTATACTTTAAGGTGCTTGAGTGTAAAATGGCTGGTAAAAAATAAATGGAACTTCTTTGCTGACAATTATACTCTACCGAATCTTTTTCTGTCTCACCTCCAACCCCGCAACTGGCCCAGAAGTCAGGCAACAGTTGCTTTGCTGCCTCTGTGGGAACAGCAACTACTATGTGTAGAAACACTTGGGGGAGGTATGCAAACAATGCAGGAGGCTCAATGCCTTAGCCCCTCTTTATCCCAAGGGCAGCAGTGGCAATGCTGGTAGGTATTTACCAGGGGATAAGTATCTCTAACTCAAAATGCTGGCGACTCAAAGGGTTTCTGATTTCAGACTTTTTTTTTTATTTTGGAATATTTGCATAGATTGCACCAGTTGGGCATCCTGACTCTGAAATTCTGAACCATGCAGAAAAAAAGGCCAGTGCGTATCCATGTCCACGTGAGGAGAATGATGTTGCTATCACGAGGCAACCAATACCACAGTGGTAGCAGATATTCTGCCAGGTGCTGGGTAAAGCGCTTGACATTATTGCCTTTCACCCTCACAAGTCTATGAAGTTGGTTCTGTTACACCATCTTACAGAGGCAGAAAATTCATGTTAAGAGAAGTCAAATAGTTCATCACGAGGCACCCATTAGGAGGTGGCAGAACTGGTTTCAGCTTGTTTTTCTAAGTGTATTATTTATTTGAGAGGAACAGAGAGACAGCAAGAGCATGAGTAAGCAAGAGAACGCTCCCATCTGCTGATTCACTCCCCCAATGCTTGCATCACCCAGAGCTGAAGCTGGAAACCAGAACAAAGTCCAGGTCTCCCATGTGGGTAGCAGAAACCCAATTACTTGAGCCATCAGCATTGCCTCCCAAGGCCTGCATTTAATAGGAATCTAAGGAGCTGGGAATCAAACCTAGGGACTCCAATGTTCCGGGATATGGACAGTTTAACCAGTATTTTCTTTCAGATTTACTTTATTTGAAAAGCAGATTTACAGAGACAGAGACAGAGATCTTCCATCCTCTGGTTCACTCCAAAAGGCTGCACCAGGCTGAAGCCAGGAGCCAGAAACTTCATTGGGTCTCCCACGTAGGTGGCAGGGGCCCAAGCACTTGGGGCATGTTCTGCTGCTTTCTCAGGTGAATTAGCAAGAAGCTGGATCAGAAGTAGAGCAGGGGCCGACACTGTGGCGTAGCAGGCAAAGCCACCACCCACAGCACTGGCATCCCATATGGGTGCCAATTCCAAGTCCTAGCCGCTCCGCTTCCAATTGAGCTGCCTGCTGATGTACCTGGGAAAGCAGTGGAAGATGGCCCAAATGCTTGGGCCCCTACACCCACATGAGACACCTGGAGGAAGCTCCCGGCTCCTGGCTTCGGATCTGTGCGACTCTGGCCTTTGCGGCCATCTAGGGAATAAACCAGCCAAGTCCTGCCTGCTCCACTTCCGATCCAGCTCGATGCTGATGAGCCTGGGGGAGCAGTGGAAGATGGCCCAAAGGCTTGGGTCCCAGAACCCATGTGGGAGACCCGGAAGAAGCTCCTGGCTTCAGATCGGCCCAGCTCGGGCTGTTGTGGCCATTTGGACAAACTTTCTTTTTTTCTCTCTCTCTCCGACTCTGCCTTTCAAATAAATAAATAAATGTTAAAAAAAAAAAAAAGGCAGTAGAACAGCTGGGACTCAAACTAGCACCCATATGGGATGCTGACATTGCAGATGGCCACAATGCCAGCCCCAATCAGCAGCCTTAACAGCCAGGTTAAATGCCTGTCCCAGAACTAGCTTTCAAATGAGGATCCACCTTTTAGTTCTCCTGTATACCATCTCATCAAGCAGTTAAAAACCAATTAACCCATAACTGCTGCAAAGGAAAAGAAACTGCCCAGACAGATCCATCTTTCAACCCTATCTGAAAGGTCTGACACTGCCTAAGACTGCGTCATTTGCTCTTATCTGTAAAGCAGCCACCACAGGCACCTTAGGGATCTTTGACAGGATCCCGACAGGCTCAGCTTATGAGTCACAAAGCTAGAAGGAACCTTACAGAGCCTCTAGCTGGAGGCATGGAAAACATCGGCCCATGGGCTAGGGAAGGCCCACAACATCATTTGGCCAGGTCCTGCCAAGGCAACTGCATGCGAGACTTGAAATTCAATCAACCTCTAGCAAGCTAATTTTTAAATTGATCATCTTTTTATGGCTCACAAATGATGCAATAAATATCCAAAAGGTCCCTGGCAGAGAAAAGGTTCCCACCCTTGTCCTAGCCCGACTCCCAGGAACCTGGGGTACAGAGAAGAGACTTGCCGGACATGCTGCAGCAGAACGTTGGCAGAGCTGCTCCTACAACCCAGATCTCCCGCATGCCCAAGCCAGAACTCCACTCTGTCCAAAGACTCGGTGTCCTGTCTGGGTCTGCCGTGGCTGCTCAGCCCATCCACTTTCCTCCAATTTGCCTGCTAATGAGGCTGGAGAACTTCACTGGTAGTCACCCTCACATGGGGATTCAGGAAATCTGTCTACCCAAGAGTTATATCAGACGAAAGATCACAATTCAGCAAGCCAAGGTTCATAAGAGAACTGCAGCACCCTCCTTTCTCTTTCCACAGACAGACAACTTTCTCAGCCACGGGGGGGTGGGGGTGGTGGAAATCTGAGCAGGGTAAAGAATTCAGGCAGAACAATCTCCAACAGAACTGAGTTTTATTTAGTACACCAGTGCACTTCCCCTTGTGCAATGTATGTGTCCCTGGGTGTCAACCAAACTTTCCCACATAGAATCTACCAACCAGAGAATGCTATTTAAAGAATCTGCCCTCCAAAGGCTCGGCATTGTGGTACAGCAGGTTAAGAAGCTACCTGTACTCCCAGCATCCCACATGAGTGCTGGTTCAAGATCTGGCTGCTCCACTTCTGATCCAACTCTCTGCTAATGCATCTGGGAAAGCAGTGTAGGATGGCCTAGGTGCTTGGAACCTTGGCACCCACATAGGAGACCCAGATAAAGTTCCAGGCTCCAGTCAATGACATGGCCCAGCAATACCTATTTCCAGCCATTTGAGGACTGAACCAGTGGATGGAGGATCCCTCTCTCTCTCTCTCCTCTGTCTCTGTAACTTTGACTTTCAAATAAATAAATGAATCTTTAAAAAAGAAAAAAAAAATCCCTCTCCCCTCTAACACAGCCAATATACCTTTATTCAGGTAAAGGAAAAATACTTTTTGAGTGCATCTTCCTTTTGTTGTTCTAACCTGTTAATGTACTTTGCTAATCCCATATCAAGCTGGGTGTAGGCAGGAGGAACAGGACTTACCTCACAGGATTGCTGTTTAGTTTAAAGGGAATAAGCCCTACAACAGTGTTTAGCGTCGTGCCCAACACAGCTTTAGTAGCACATTAAATGTTGGCTATTGTGATGACTGAAGGGAAAAGCTAGGAGAGGTCACTACAGAGCTATTCCCCCACACCTGTCTCCGACTTCTGGGACAACAACCCAAAGAGCAATGGCTTAGATTCTCAAGTACAGAGACTACAGAGAATTGAAGGTAATTATAACCACTGCCTCTCACCTCCTCCTCTTTGTTTTTTTTTTTTTTTAAGATTAATTTATTTACTTATAAGTCAGAGTTACACAGAGAAAGAGAGGCAAAAACAGAGAGAGAGACAGAGGTCTTCCATCCACTGGTTCACTCCCCAATTGGCCACAACAGTTGAAGCTGAGCCAGTCCCAAGTCAGGAGCCAGGAGCTTCCTCCAGTTCTCCCATGTGGGTGCAGGGGCCCAAGGACTTGGGCCATCTTCCACTACTTTCACAGGCCATAGCAGAGAGCTGGATTGGAAGTAGAGCAGCCGGAATTGAACTGGCACCCATATAGGATGCTGGCACTGCAGGTCTTGAGCCCAAGGGGAAAATTTTTTTAAAATATTTTTTTAAAATATTTATTTCAATGAATGGCAGAGGTACAGAGAGGAAGAACCACTGGTTCACTCCCCAAATGGCTGCAATGGCCAGGGCTGGGCCAGATTGAAGCCAGGAGCCTGGAACTCCATCCAGGTCTCCCATGTGGCTACAGAGCCCTTAGTACTTAGGTCATCTTCCACTGCTTTCCCAGGCACCTTAGCAGGGAGCTGGATCAGAAGCAGAACAGCCAGGACTCAATCTGGCACAGAGGGAAACTTTTCTTTTTTAAATTTTTTTAAATGCTGACTCCCTGTGGACTTAAAGCCATATTTGAAGCTACTTTTATTGTTTGGTTGGTTAAGATTTATTTATTTATTTAAAAGGCAGAGTTACAGAAATGTAGAGGCAGAGAGGGAGAAATAAGTCTTCCATTCACTGGTTCAAATGGCTACAACCGCCGGAGCTGGGCCAAGCCAAAGCCAGGAGACAGGAACTTCTTCCAGGTCTCCCATACAGATGCAGGGGCCCAAGGACTTGGACCATCTACTGCTTTCCCAGGCCATAGCAGAGAACTAGATCAGAAGTGGAGCAGCCAGGACTCGATCCGGCACCCATATGGGATGCCGGCACTGCAGGCGGCAGCTTTACCTGCTACACCACCGTGCTGGCCCCAGGAAAATTTTCATGCAGCTGCCATGGGGTCTCCCTTTAGTTGTGTCTTAGCCTGCCTCCAGAAAGTTCAGAGCCTACCTCTTATCAGAAGCACTTTGACAGTAGAGTTAGAAACATACCAGGGGATTCGAATTCAATCCCATCAAGGTGGCATGTACCAATGCCATCTCACTAGTCCCAGTGATCAATTTCTGTTCACAATTGATCATAATGATAGGACTAAGAACCAAAGGGAGCACATAAACAAGAATAGTGTCTGCAAATACTAGCTGATAGAATCAAAAAGGGAGAGAATGATCCAACATGGGAAGTGAGATACACAGCAGACCCATAGAATGGCAAATGTCCTAACAGCACTCTGGCCTCAGAATCAGCCCTTAAGGCATGCGGATCCGGCTGAAATGCCCATGAGAGTATTTCAGGCATGGAAAGCCAAGACACTCTGGGGGAAGAAAAAAACCTAAATGAAAGATCTCCGTGAGTGAGATCCCAGTGGAAAG